ACAGGCAGGCAGGCAGACAGGCAGACAGACAGACAGGCAGGCAGGCAAGCAGGCAGGCAGACAGTCAGACAGTCAGGCAGGCAGGCAGACAGACAGACAGACAGACAGACAAGCAGGCAGGCAGACAGACAGACAGACAGACAAGCAGGCAGGCAGACAGACAGACAGACAGGCAGGCAGGCAGACAGACAGACAGACGGGCAGACAGACAGACAGATACCTGGACGTAGGGTTTGTAGGTGAAGGTGTAGTGGTGGGCGATGGCAGCCAGGAACATTTCTATGCAGATGATGAAGTCCTGTCAATCATAAAGTTTATTTAAAAGGACTAAAACAAAAACAGAAGATCAAAAACAACAAAAACCTGATTAGTAACAAACAAACGACTGATTTTCCTGATTTAATAAATAATTATTGACGACTGAAGTCCAGAGAAGAGTCATTCCTGGGCCAGGTGTTGTTGTTCCTCTTCTTTTGTTTACGTGTGTCTTGTTGTTGTTTACCTGCAGTCCGGTGGCCACAGCCTCCACACTGTCCCAGTCCCAGGTGTGTCTGTCAGAAATCACTCCCACTTTCACCAGCAGAGCGATCAGAACCGCCTGCCTGCACACAAACCCAACGGATCAGAGCCGGTCGGACGTTCTGTACGTTCAGTCGAGGTCCGGTCCTACCAGAACGAGACGAAGACCACCAGCTTGACGCACAGGAACTTCCCCACGGGTCTGATGGGCTTCAGCTCGTCCCTCAGGGCCCGGTAGAGCAGAACCAGACAGTACATGGCAAACTGCAGACAAGACAGGCAGACAGGAAATCACCCTCAGATTTATAAATGGAGGTTTTAGTGATCCCAGAAAAAGCTGCTTGATTTCTTTGAGGGGTTTTAAATGTTTGATAAGTCACTGGAAAAGTCGATGTGATTTAGTTCTTGGTTTTAGTTCGGCCTGTCACGATAACAAATGTTGCTGCTGGACGATTAATGGTCTCAGAAATTATTGAGATAAACGGTAATATTGTTTGAAATTTGACAATTATTAGAAATTATTGTCAAATTTAAGAAGAAATGTTGGTTACCTTAATTTGTTTTGAATGTAATACCTGTTTTTGAAGTGAAGGATGGATAGTGAGTGAGTGAGCAGCGTGTCTCTTTAAGAAAAATGAGAGGGAGGCCCCTTGACATGACATGGGCTGTCTCTCTTCTGTTCTCAAAATGGCGGACGCTCGGTGTGGTTTGAGCTCTTTATCATTTTTCACACAAAGATTTTAATATTAAAAAATCAGTAAACAAGTTCTCCGCTTCTTTTTGCAGAGGAAAACAACTTTTTACACGAAGACACGAGTTTCAACCGTGAATTTTGGAGCTTTGACAAGACGGAGGTTTTTTTCCCGAGGTCGACCTGTTAGCTTAGCTCGTAGCTTAGCTTCTCAGCTTAGCTGCTTTTAACGATCCAAAAACGTGATTTTGGACGATTAAACAGATTTTAAAGAGAAAAGAGAAAGGGCGGGGTCAGTGAAGAACCGGAGATGAACCTTTTTTCATCCAGTGTCTTCAGTAGAAAGAGAGAGACACGAAGAAACGATAAAGCGATTAATTGATTTATTGTTTATCGCGACAGGCCTGTTTTTAGTATTTTATTTTGTTTTATATGGCAGCTGGAGTTCATTGTTTTTATTACGCCGTGTTGTTTTAATTATGTGACTGTTTCTAACTCGTTCTTCCGTATGTTTCTCAGCTCGTAACTCGTTCGACGTTGTTTGTGCTATTTCAACACGTCATGCACCGAAACGTTCGGCTCCTTCAGGACGTTCCTGCTGTGACGTGTGGTATTTGTGCAGTTTGGTCTTTTAGAAATATTTAGCTTTTTCGGCCATTTTCTTCTCATTGAAAAAGGAACGGAGCTCTCTTCACCTTTTAGTTCAGTTTTTCTTCGGCTTCAAATGTTTTCAGCTCCGTTGTTAATATTTCAGCTTGTTTCAGCTAAATTTATCTTTTTGTGCTGCTTTTGGCTTCTTTCTGCTCATTTCAGCTTTTTTTCTGCTTTATCAACAACTTTTTTTTAGGAAATTTTCTGACAATATTAGCCTTTATTTCATTTATGTATGTGCCTTTTGTGAAAAAAAAATATTTTTAATGCTCCTTTCAGCTAATTATTTGCTGATATAAATTTTTTCAGCTACTTTGCAGTTAAATTCAGCTTTAATTACCCATACCGTTTATTGTCCTGCTTTCAGAAAATGTCAGCTGTTCAAACTCAACTCACATTAACAGTTTAGCAATTAAACCTTTTTTCATGTGCTTTCAGCAACTTTCAGCAAAAATTGTTTACATACAGTAGATCCTCGTTTATCGCAGGGGATCCGTACACTGAAGACCCGTTATAAGTGAAAAACAGCAAAGTAGGAATAGTAGTACAAGCAGTAAGTAGTAATTTATTTTTATTTATATATATATATATATATATATATATATATAAAGGTGTTTTAAACCCTTCCCACACTCTTGCAATATTCTAAACTATGTTTTCAAACTCTAAACGCTCTAAAAGACACAGAATGTCATGATTTCAGCTTCCTGCTTCCGCTGCTCTCAGCCACTGCAAGAGCTCTTGGCCAAGTTTATCCTGCAGTAAGGGCTGCACAGAGGTGCAGGAGGTGCTAAATAATTTATAATAATTTATCAGGTCTCCGTTGAATCAATGAGACTACTTTAATGTAAAAGGGTTAAATAAATTTAAAAAACGATTAATAAACCAAAACTAAAATGTTCCTTGAGCGTCTGGAATCTGTTTAAACGTCATGTGAGGTGAAAGGTGTTTACCAGCTGCGAGATGTTGTTGATTATCACCAGGTAGGACCAGGCGCTCCTGAAGCTGAAGTTTGCTTCGTCGTAAACTCCACAGAGCTGACAGACGCTGCAGAAACACAAACTGCACATCAGCTTCAGAGCCTTCCATACACAAACTGCAGATTCCTTAAACAGGTCCAGGACTGAGCTGAAACTCAGGGAAAGATCAGCCGAAAGAACAGATTAGCAAGACATTGAGAAGCTGAAGAAATGTTCAGCAACTAAAGAAGCTAATTTCTGTAAGAAGTGTTGGTCCCGCTGCTCAAATATGAAGAATGTGTTTCTAATAATGTAAGAAAAAATGGGAACTGTTTAACAAGGGTAAAGCTGCAGCCAGTGGTCACCATGGTAACTGCACACCAGCATCTGTCGCTCCCTGACAAACCTGATACAGACAGGTAGACAAAAAAAAAGATGGAAAAATAAGGCTCAAATGAAATGTTGCGGTGTGAACACTTTAATTCATATCTTGAACAGAAAGCAGCAGAAGACATTGGTGGTCACACAGGAGAAGATGTTCCTACAGTGTTTTATTTAATAGATATCACAAGATCAAAAGACCTTTCACTTCCTGTTTTAAAGCTCAAATACAGCCGACGTCTGGGAGCTCGTCGAGGTTCTCTGTGAACTCTGAGTTGACCTGAGAGAAAAGCGTAACTCTTCGAGCGGTGAGAGACACACCGAGTGACAGAAGACAGAAACACCGACACGTTCGTGTATAATTTGTACGTGAAATTAAAAAGATGGGTGAGTAAGAACAATTTGTTCAATTTTCTAAAGTTTCGAGAGCGTGAAGTCAGTCTTCTGTTGAACGTTCTGCGACAAAATCAAGAAAGATCATTCAACTTAAACAGTGACTGTGTAAAAACCATTAAAGGTATTGAAATACCAGTTCAGACACATAAAGTCCAACGTTCTGTGATCTGCTTAAACGTTGAACGATGTTTCTAGCATGAAGAGTGTCGAAGCTGTGGAGGTCTAAACGGAGCTGGGTTTGCTCAGCCGCTTCACCAGAATCCCATTTATGGAGAATTTTCTTACCTTTGTATTTTTTGTTAATTTTATCCCCACCTTGAAACGTAACACTACGAATACTCGCAGCACACGTTTTACGACCAGACGCATCTTTTCATGTAGAACTCGCTCTTTTTCGAAGCTGAAGAATGAAAACAGACTAATATTGTGAACAATAAAACCGGTGCTTCCGTGCCGACTTATGGCAGCTTGCAAACAAAACACGAGACTGGATGAAGACTTCTGCACAGACCTGTCATCACTATGGCAACAGAACGAGACTTACAGCGCGACCACGGTGGTGACGGGTCGGACCACGGTGTACTGGAGGACTCCCAGCTTGCACCTGAACAGCAGCACCCTGACAGAGACAGGAAACAACGTGAATGTCTCCGCCCCGTCATCGCTGTGGCCCCGCCCTCCCCACGCCGGCCCCGCCTCTTACTCTCCCATGGGCCACGGCGGGCAGCAGCAGAGCGGCGGCAGGTGCGGCTGCTGCTGCTGCACCTCCAGCATCAGCGCCAGGCTCGGGTACTGGTTGCTGAGGAAGTTGAGCAGGAACACCAGGAAGTTGTAGATGACGAAGGCCTCGTAGCACTCCCTGCAGGTGTCCACGTAGATGGCCATGCCGGGGTACCTCAGGGCCAGCCACTGACCGGGGGAGAGGGGGGACACACGATGGAACATCAACAGAACAACTCTTGACGTGTGCACCGACACATGAGGGGAAACAAATAACTGAAACCAGGTCAGAGGGTTTCACTGACTCTGATTTGTTAATTAAACACCATTGTCATGGCACCACACGGCGTGCACGTGCGTGTGCATGTGTGTGCGAGACTCACGCTGTCCAAGCTGTAGATCGGCACCATCCACAGAATCCTGGAACACAAAACAGGTCTTCATCCTCACGTCCTCTGTTTCTGTTTGTAATTGGCTGAAAATCTCCGGGAACGTTCAGGAAGTCGAATAAATTCTCTCGAGTTTCTTAGTTTCACAACTTGTCTGGATTAATTTTATTTCATCTTAAACGTCAAAGCACTCTGTGATCTAAAACCCGTCACATTAAAAACATACAACGAGGGTTTTCTTCAATGAAGATTCAGAATCAGAACGTCTTTACTGTGTTTGCAACAAGCACAA